AAATGATGTTCAGATGGTTGTTTCTCTGAAAGACAGACAAAAAGCAAAACAAGTCCCGTCATTTTTGTTTTGTGGCTGACCTTTATAACACCATCCTTTATTTAAAAAAGGATAAAAGAAAAACATGATGTAGCATTTTAATAGCAGGCCTAGTTCTCTGTGTGAAAGATGATAATGATGCAGGTTTTCAGCTGACTGATACGAAAGAGGATTAGGGCCATTGAAAAAAAACAGTTAACTGATTTTTAAATTTTATTTCAGTTTAGTATGGGAAAAAAGTCAGAATTCTGACTAATTCTGACTTTAATCTCAGAATTCTGACAATAAAAAAGTCTAAATTTTGAGATTAAAGTCAGAATTCTGAGATTAAAGTAAGAATTCAAAGAAAAAAGTCAGACTTCTGACTTTTTTCCCATACTAAACTGAAATAATAGTAAAAAATCAGCTAACTTTTTTTTTTCCAGTGGCCCTGATCCTCTTCTGTAGACTGATGATCATCAACGATGAAAAATGTTAAACAATAAATAAATAAATAAAAACTCCTTAAAGTAATTTCTGCCTGTGAGGACTTCAGAAGATGTCAGAGTGTGATGATGACATGAAACCAAAACATGTGTTCGTTATAAAAACATGGTGCCATACAATCCCGCCCCGCACCCCTCCCCTGATGCCGCCCCTGTCCGGACTTTGGCACATTTAGGGGAGAAGCAGCAGCAGCAGGATCCCATCCTGAGCGCGACATGAACGGATCACAGCTCAATGAGCTTCCGGATGACTCCGAGCAGCTGAGGCCGTACGTGGTGAGCCTGAGGCGGGCAGCAGAGGAGGCCGATGACCGGTCCTCGGTGGGAAGCTTCTCCGACTGCTTCCTCATCAGGTTCCTGCGCGCCAGAGACTTCGACCTGCAGCTCTCCCTCAAGGTAAAGCACCTCTATGTCACCAACAGGTGGAAGGAAAACAGTACATCTACAAGATTACTGCACTTTTGTATTTTTTTTTTTTTTTTTTGGAGTATCTTTACTTGATTATTTTTTTGTGTTCTATGTTTTGTTTTTGTTTTTTTTATAACTTATACCTTTCACTACCTTTCAAAGTCAAATATTGTATTTCATTACACTACATTTCCAGGAAGCCTTTAGTTACTTGTTCCTTTTGACTCAGTTTAGCTCTATAATCCCCTATAATCTGCTGCTGCTGTTTTCTTTCTACTTATTTCATGGGACATTTCCATTTATGTATTTCATATTTTTCAGCCCTCTATTTACTTTAGGGATTACATCAACATGACTATCAAATCATTTTGCAGTCCCCCAGGGGGAATCTGTGGTCTAGGCATCGTTTTACATGCTTAACAGAAGTTATCCTAAAACTGAATCATGTAAAAGTAAAGAAAAACATTTGGTTTAAAGATTACTTGATCACAGGATAACTGTCTAATCTTATTTTTAATCACAATATAGAGAAAATAAATCTTACTTTGTCTGCTATTTTGAAGAAAAAAGTAAAAAAAATAAATAAAATAGAGAAAAGATTAAAATCTAATAATTCAAGTGCAAGAAAAATTTTCAAATAAGATCTTTGGAGAAAAAGATTTCTTGAAAGTTACCATAGGTGAGAACAGCAGAAACGGACGATATAGTAAGTTGCCCTAAAACAGCAAATCAGATTCACATAAAAAATAGATAATGAACAATGAGGACTGAGTCCATGAATAATGTCTGCGGTTCAACAAAGATGCCAGTCTTACATTTCTTTGGGTTGGTATTTTATACTAAAAACTTTACTGAACTAATTTATAAAATCTTGTCAAACATAGAAGGCAAAAACAAACAGCCTCTTTGAAAAGCATGAAATCTGGATTTATTTGACTTTATTGTCTTCTTGTCATATTTTCTTTCAAGATAATCCTTTACTGTTTGTTTTGGCACTTATGTTTAGAGACAGAATGTTTCTAAGCGTGAACAGAGAATAAACCCAAACAAGCGAGCCTCAGAGACTAAAGCTCAGCCAAGTGGATCAGAGCTCTGCAGTTGTGACACACATAGTCTAACTTTAACACAGAACACAAGAAGCTTTTCCTATTTTGATTTATTTAGAAATGTTTTTCTGTTTTTATATTTTTTTTATAAGATCCGCGTTGGGTTTTACTGCAGTTACAGTTTGGTGCAATTTCAGTTCTTTAATAAGGAAATAATAACAATGTAACATTTTTATTATTAAAAACTTAAAAGATCTAGGTCCCTTTTCAAGACTGTCCAGCTTTGTTAGAAATGTTTTGTTTGTTTTGATTTTTCTACAAAGTATATAGCAATGTGCTGTAGCTGAATGCAGAACATTTCCTTTTAAGATTCCCTAGAGTTGCATTTTATTAAAGTATACAGTTTGAAATAAATTGACACTAGATACAGCATTTGATCAGTTGATTTTTTTCTGATATATGCAACATTAATATTATCCTAATGTATGGTTGGTAGTTTCAGGTCAGTCATTAATTAAGTGCAGAATGCTTGTAAAAATGTATTGATTTGACAAAAAAAAAAGAAATAGAAAATAACTAAAACAGGCAGGATTTTCAAGTGTTTATATGTGTGTATAAAAAAATGCAGCCAAAGTAGAAAGCATGTGCAAAGCTTATCTACACACCAAGGGGAAATTAAATGGTATGTGTTTAAAATTAGCTTTCTTTAGTGAATTTGTGTATACACACATAGAGCAAGAGACAGAGAGAGAGGGAGAGATATAGATATGGATATACAGGGGTTGGACAATGAAAATGAAACACCTGGTTTTAGGCCCCAATAATTTATTGGTATGATGTAGGGCCTTCTTTTGCAGCCAATACAGCATCAATTCGTCTTGGGAATGACATATACGAGTCCTGCACAGCGGTCAGAGGGATTTTAAGCCATTCTTCTTGCAGGATAGTGGCCAGGTCACGACGTGATGGTGGAGGAAAATGTTTCCTGACTCGCTCCAAAACACCCCAAAGTGGCTCAATAATATTTAGATCTCTTGACAGTGCAGGCCATGGGAGATGTTCAACTTCACTTTCATGTTCATCAAACCAATCTTTCACCAGTCTCACTGTGTGTATTGGTGCATTGTCATCTTGATACGGCAGAGGGAGGAAAATCGCTTTTTCGACTTAATTAGCAACATGCTACCGAAATGGCTGGATCTGGCACCGGATAAGTCATTCACATTGGAACGGGTACATCGCACACCGGCCTCTGGGAAACCAAACCAAGGCAGAGCGGTTCTGATTCACTTTTTAAAGGTCCTGGAGAACGAATTTGTGTACCGAGAGGCAAGAAAAGAGAAATTACATATGATGGGGCCAAAATCATGTTTGCACAGGATTTATCTGCAGAGACGGTACGGATCAGACACGGGGTACCACCCGGTGGTGAAGCTGTTTGTTGATATCGAAAAATTCATCTCTTCTCAATACCTCAAGAAGCCAAAACATTTTACAAGACTTTTCCAAAATAAAAACAGCGGGTGCCTTTGATCAGTGAGTCATGAAAGACAAAATGCTTAGAAAACAGGTAAACGGATACAACATTTTATGTGGCTATTCCTGCTCCAATAGAGCTGATTAACAACCGGAACATAAGCAGGATAAGTTCTAAGTTAATTGTCAGTTCATATAAATATGCTTTTGTGTGTTTAAGTCTAATTTGAACTGTTTGATAATTAATGCTGAAAGTTGAGCCTTAAATTAGTTATTACTGTTCTACCAAGGGCTGATGGTATTATATAGTGTTTTGGTTAGGTCACGTTGACTAATTGCTCCTCATTGAAGTTAATTTGGGGAATGTTTATGACTTGTTCTGTGTATTGTATGGATGATTGTGTGAATGCATATGCAAACCTGCTTTTTCAGTTCTACCTTTACCTAATTTATTTTTAGTCCAATAATAAATTAAATAATCTGATATAGAGAAGACAATCAAGGGAAATGCTTTGAATTTCAAAATCACTAGCTGGAATGTCAGAGGAATACGAAAGCTAACTAAATTGAAACAAGAATTAGACTGATTAAAATATTTGAAATCTAGAATATTTTTTCTACAAGAATCTCATTTGATTGAGACAGAAATACATCGTATAACCAAAAGATGACAGGATCAGGTATATCACTCTTCCTTTACCAGTCACGCCAGAGGAGTTAATATTCTTGTGCAAAAGTCAAAACCATTTCAAACTATAAGGTCAATCAAAGAACCCTATGGGAGATATATAATTGTGCAGGGACATATTTCAACATTAAAACTAAATTTGATAAATATTTATGGACCTAACAATGATAATCCATCCTTTTATGAAAATGTATTCTTAACCTTGTCAACCCTGGAGAAACTTTATATTATAGGAGGGGACTTTAACTGCACCCTGAACCCCAGTCTGGATAAATCTACTCAAAGTGATACCCGTCATTCACAAACCAGGAAAATACTCCTTAATTATATAAAAGACTTAAGAATAAATGAAGTATGGAGAACAAGGAACCCAAGCAACAGGGGATTTTCATGTTACTCAAGCACACTTCAATCCCATTCGCGTATTGATTATTTTGTTATCTCTGTGGAGTTATTGCCTCACGTGGAGAACTGCTGGTATGATCGTATTGTACTCAGTGACCATGCTGCAGTGTCCCTGGAAATTAAAGTAAATAGGATTGATCAAGGAGTGAAACGATGCAGACATCTTTGCTAAAAGACTCAAAATTTGTTACATTTATAGAAACTTGCATTGACAAATATTTTTAATTGAATAATGATGTAACAACAGCTAGTATTAGAAGGGAAGCGTTTAAAGCTTACATCAGAGGAGAAATTATCAGCTGTAGCAGCAATAAAAATAAACAATATAACCAAGAATTAAAATCATTAGAGGAACAAATTAAATCCAGCGAAACAGAGATTTATCAGAGTAATGATCATACAACATTACACAAACTGAATGTTTTAAGAACCAGATATGAAACATTAACAACAGAGAGAGTGGAGAAAAGCTTAATGTGGACGAAACAAGCATTTTATGATCAAGGAGAAAAGGCCGGTAAATTATTGGCTTGGAGGATAAAACAGATGCAAGCAGAAAGAGAAATTAACAGCATCAAATCCATATTTGGCGTTTTAACAACAGACCCTTCAGAAATAAATGAACATTTTAGAGAATTCTACAAAACCTTGTATAAATCTGAAAATTGTGGAAATGAAGAAACTCAAGCTGCATTTCTTAATCAATTAAAATTCAAAACCATTTCAGAGGCGGAGAAAAGAACTCTTAATAGTCCTTTAACAATAAAAGATCTATCTGAAGCAATAGGCAGCATGAATAGTGTTAAACGCCTCCTGATGGACTTCCAATAGAGTTTTACCATAATATAAGACGGATTCTTAATGTACTACATGAAAAACATAATTGCAAACACACAGCGAGGTTATCATTGGATGCACATCAAGCTTTTAACAGAATAGAGTGGACTTATCTGTTTAAAATGCTCCCCAAATATGGACTGGGTGAAAGCTTTCTAAGATGGATACGACTACTATATACTGATCCCATAGCACAAGTTTTAACCAATAATAATATGTCAAAACCTTTTAATTTACAACGGTCAACTAGACAGGTGCGCCCTCTGTCACTGTTGCTTTTTGCACTGGCAATAGAACCGGTGATGGCTGTTAGAGTGAATATAGGAATATCAGGAATTAGAATTGGAGGAAGGGATCATGTCATTTCCCTGTTTGCGGATGACATCATATTTTTCATCAGTAATTTAAAGATCAGTATTCCCAATTTATTAGATCTAACAAAAGAATTCTGTGAATTTTCAGGATAAAAAAATGTATATTTCTAAATCAGATTTAATGTTTCTTAATGAAGAAGAAAGGAGAAGTCCTAGTGTGGT